AGATCAACTTGCCGATATATTCACCAAGCCATTGGATGAGAAAAGGTTTTGCAAGCTAAGGAATGAGTTGAACATATTGGATTTCTCAAATATGTGTTGATGCACACCCCCACTTATATGACATGCCTCTCCTTCGAGCAATCTAAGGTAAAAGTTGATTGGCATGACATACATCCTTGCTAAGGACATGTTTAGTGCATTTAATCATTTCTCACATTTTATTAGGCTCATTCATGAAAATCAAATAAATTTGATGTTTATATGGTATCACTATTGCTTCTATGCTTGACTTGATCTAGTGATAACATATGACATGTTTGTGGGCTTGTAAACCTTGTGTTTAATCTAGAAAATGAGCTCTAAGTGTTTAACTCAACATGGTACAAGATAACCCTTATTAGGAGGTGTGAAGAAGCTTGTCCTTGGATCAAACCGAGTTAAATATCTTTGGCAAATATTCTAGTTTGAACCAAATTTAGAAAAATGATCCTCACCCCATTGATTGACATTGATAATCTCGACCCTACAAGTAATACTATCTATATTTTGAACCTTTGTGGTCATTAATGACAAATGGGGAGAGAAACAAAGATAGTGGTAAAGATAGTGAAAAAGGGAGAGAAGTGAAAATCTTGATATATGACATAGGGGGAGAGAAGTGAAAAAGGAAAGGGATCAATTAAAATTTTGAGCACACAAGTAGGGGGAGCAAGCTCATGAACTTGGATGATGCATTTGAATGTGCAGTTCATATGTTTGCTTGCAAGGCACAAGTATTAAATTTAAACATCCATGCTTGTGTGATGTATGCTAGTTGTAAGTCTGAATGATAATATGAAAAACTAGCATGAATAGATTATCTAGTGATTTCATTCTCTAGTATTATCAAGTGGTATCTATTCCAAATATTTCTATGTGGTATATTTTTCAAATGGTATCAAGCTAACTATGGTGCTAAGGAAGGTATAATGGTGCACTCCGATTGGTATCACGCTTCAAAGGTCCATCTCTTATACCTTAGCATCATGTGGTAGATATTGACTCCTATATTTCCTATCTAATTATATGTGCAAGCTTCAATCCAAACTCTTAGCACATATGTAGGGGGAGCAATAGCTACCGTATGGAGTTCATGAAACTTGTCCATATCCTTTACACATGGTAAATATGCTTGGGCAAGCAACATGGATTCAAATGAATCTTAATTCATATCTTTGTATAAGGGTTGTCATCAATTACCAAAAAGGGGGAGATTGAAAGCTCTAGTTTGGTTTTGGTGAATTGATGAAACCCTAAGTGCTAACCTAGTTTATCAAGTGATAATGAGATAGGTAGCACACTCCAAGTATTGAAGAAAATAAAGATCATAGCATAATGAAGATGATGCCATGGTGATGATCAAGTGCTTGGACTTGGAAGAAAGAAAGAGAAAAACAAAAAGCTCAAGGCAAAGGTATAAACCATAGGAGCTATTTTGTTTTAGTGACCAAGACACTTAGAGAGTGTGATCACATTTAGGATTGATAGCCGTACTATTAAGAGGGGTGAAACTCGTATTGGAATGTGGTTATCAAAGTGCCACTAGATGCTCTAACTCATTGCATATGCATTTAGGATCTAGTGGAGTGCTAACACCCTTAAAAATGTTTGTGAAAATATGCTAACACATGTGCACAAGGTGATACACTTGGTGGTTGGCACATTTGATCGAGGGTGGTGAAGTTTGGGTGCAAGGGTAAGGAACTCCACCGGTGGAGTGTCCGCCTGTAGAGTGCGGACAGTCCGACGGTGCCACCGACGTCCTAGACAGAAAAAACGGAGGTCACTGTGAGTGACCGAACGCTGGCCTCGGTTGGACCGGCGCGTCCAGTCAGGTGTAACAGCAAAGACGCTAGCATCGGTCAAACGACCGGACGCTGGGTCACTCTACGACCGGACGCTGGCAGGGTGCGTCCGGTCAGTGCTGACATACGCTGACGTAGGGCGTACAGAGGAGACGTTGACTGACCGGACGCTGGGAGAGTCCGGTCGGGCAAGACCGGACACGTCCGATCGGGAAAATCGCGTTTGGAACCTTACTGGAAACAACCAGACGCTGAGGTCCAGCGTTCGGTCACTTTCTAACTGACACGTTCGGTCAACAGATGACCGTTGAGATCAAACGACTCCTGTTGAACGCAGTGTGACACGTGGCAGACATCGGGCGACTGGACGCTGGGTTCAGGGTCCGATCAATATGACCGGAGCGTCCTGTCACTCCGCGTTGTGCCCAGTGAAGGTGTACAACGGCTCTATTTCATGGGGGCTTCTATTTAAGCCCCATGGCCGGATCAAGCTCACTCCCTTGGCCATTTTCATTGACATAGCAACCTTGTGAGCTTAGCCAAAGCCCTCCCACTCATCTCCATCATTGATTCATCATCTTTGTGAGATTGGGAGTGAATCCAAGTGCATTGCTTGAGTGTTTGCATCTAGAGGCACTTGGTGTTCGTGTTTCGCTGCGGGTTTCACTTGTTACTCTTGGTGGTTGTCACCACCTAGACGGCTTGGAGCAGCGAGGATCGTCGAGCGGAGGGTGGTGATTGTCTCCGGCTTCGATCGTGGTGATTGTGAGGGGTTCTTGACCTTTCCCCGGTGGAGAGCCAAAAGGTACTCTAGTGGATTGCTCGTGGCTTGTGTGATCCTCATCTTGTGTTGGTTGTGCAGCACCCTATTGAGGGTTTGGCGTGTGATGCCAATTAGCGCGTGAACCTCCAAGTGAGTGAATCGCCACAACGAGGAGTAGCTTGCCGGCAATCAAGTGAACCTCGGTAAAAAACCATTGTGTTCATCCTTTGATTCCGAGGTGATTGGTCTTCATTGTTATTCACTCTTGTGATTGATTGGTTCCTTCATCTACAAGGCGGTATAACTTTCTTGATCACTCTCTTTACTTTACCGTAAACTAGTTGTCAAGCTCTTTAGTGTAGCTAGTTGTGAGAGCTTGTTTGCTTAGTTAGTGTTGCTCTTTAGTTAGCCTTTGAGAGCACACTAACATAAGGTAGTGTAATAGCTATTGTGTGAATAGAGATTATTTAAACTAGAATTGTGGTAGGTGGCTTGCATTTTGGGTAGGCTAGCGCAACTCTTGCTTCGCCTCATATTTGTCTAACCTTGTGTTAAGTGTTGTTGTAGAAATTTTATTAGGCTATTCACCCCCCTCTAGCCATTAGGACCTTTCAGCTGGCCGGACGTTGCTCACCCAAGCCTACGTCTCGCGCGGCCACGCAAGGGCCCGCGCCACCGAACGTCGCCCGCACGGGCACAGCTTGTGCCCCCTTCCACTTCCCACGTGCATCTCTTGTGCAATACCAATTTACTTTTGAAACATTCAGATGCAACACTTGCAACATAAAAAAAAGGCATATGAAACACTTGAAACATGCATTTGAAACATTTGCAAAAACACATAAGACCATTGTAAATATAAACAACATCCAGATAAAATACTTTCAACATATGTGTGAAAACATATGCAATATCCAAATAAACATGGTTGAAACATACGCCTAGGAAAACAGATGAAACATTGGAGACAGACTCTTACAACATACGTGTACAGCCATTGCAACATATGCAACATTCCGATCTACTTTTGCAGCATCCGTATGAAATGCTTGCAACATACCTCTAATACATCTAAAATATTTAAAATGTGAGCCTATAACATGCGTTTCACCCTTCTTCCGTGCGACGCAGTGCAGAGCGAGGAACAGACGGTTGCGAATAGCCAGTAGCCGAGGATGGTGGCGTGGCCTGGCAGCAGTCAGCTGCGCCTTTGCCTGGTCTAGGCCTGGCCAGCGACAACCCCTTCTCCTAGGGTGCTTCTGGCAATGGCCGTGAGCGGAAGGTGGACGCTGGGCCACGGCGTGTCGGAGACGAAGGTCTCTTCCTGGCTGCCGACCTGGCGTCTGGACCCCATGGTGGAGCCGCAAGCCCCTTCGGTTGGGCGGTCGGTCTCTCCTCTCCTGGCGGCGAAAGCAGTGGTTGGGCAGCAGCGCCGGTTGATCGGCAGGTTTGCCGCACGCGGTGAGCGACCCCATGACGGAGAAAGCGAGTGCAGCCGAGGATGGTGGCGTGGCTGCAAAGCACGGGCGTGCGGCTTTGGTCTAGGCACGCCGGCGACAACCTTCTCTCCGGGGTGCTCCTGGCAATGGCCGTGAGCGGAAGGTGGACGCTGGGCCACGGCGTGTCGGAGACGAAGGTCTCTTCCTGGCTGCCGACCTGGCGTCCGGACCCCATGGTGGAGGCAGCGGCGGCGGTCGGGCGGTTGCGGTCTCCCTCTCCACGGGCGAGCAGTGGTTGGGCAGCAGCGCCGGTTGATCGGCAGGTTTGCCGCACGCGGCGAGCGACCCCGTGACGGAGGTACAGATATCCTCCTCAAACCACATTTACCAAGGTGGATTATGATGTAAAATTAACTAATTTCCACCTCAATAATTGATCTACACTAACACACGTGGATTAAGGTAGATAGAGTGCATCCAAACAAATCCTTCGTGTGTGAAAAACATATGCGTGCTCATATATTTACGCCATATATACTAAGTACGTTTCATAATTAGGATGTCCTATAAAAAGTTATCATTCCTTACGCCTTATTTGAATGCGCTTATACTCATCCAAATTCACTCCATAACATATGGATTAAGTTGGATAGGAGTGCATCCAAATAAACCCTGAGTATTCGTAAACACTTGTACCATTTCAATATTTGTGTACAAATTTGTAATCATTTCCGGCCTAGCTAGCTTATGAATCCCTCCTACTCCTCCTCCCTTGCCCTCATCATTAAATTTTAAAACCTTGGCATTTTAATTACGTCCTGTTCTGCGGCACTACTTCAGTACTTTTCAGCGAAGGAATGATGTTTTTCTCTCATAACAAATCAGTATAAGCAGCAGCATAAGCCAAATTTCAGCGAAACCAACGGTCGGCACGCGGACGCCGGACGTGATGGATCAGGGCTTGATGAGAGTGTAGGTGGCAGCTCCTGCAATGGCCCCCAGCGGCGGCGCCAGCAGGTAGACCCAGATGTCCTTGTACTTCCCCGTCGCCAGCGCCGCCCCGATCGTTCGCGCCGGGTTCATAGACGGCCCCGTCGACGGCCTGCACCGCATGCACACTCGCTCAGCGTTTCATACTCTTTGCCCATTGCTCCGATGATCGAGAGCGTTCATCTATCGGAGCACCAGTTCATGGGTATTTTCAGTAGGAGCAGCACTGCACTTACCCTCCGATGAGAGCGTTCATCATTATCGCCGCCGCGATCGCGATAGCCACCAGCTCTTTGCTCTGCACAAGATCGTCGTCAACAAACATTCATCAAATTTACATTTTCAACACCATGGCTAGCTGATATATCATATCCACTGCTGCGCACGGTGCACTTGCCGAGGTCGGGTCGGTGGCGACGGCGGTGATGACGAACATGAGCACGAAGGTGAGCACGAGCTCGAGGACGAACGCCTCAGCGGCGCCGACGCGGGGCACCGTCGCCATGACGGCCGGGTCGGCGGGGCGGTACATGGCCTTGGCGAGGAACGTGGCGGCGACGGACCCCATCGTCTGCGCGGCAGCGTAGGGGAGCACGTGGGCGCGCGGGAGGTGCCCGAACACGCCCATGGCCAGGCTCACCGCCGGGTTCAGGTGGGACCCGGAGACGTGCACCACGGCGAGCACCACCGCCACCACCGCCAGCCCCGCCGACGCCGCCACGCCCACCAGGCCCTCCGCGCCGCCGTGCTGCGCGTCCGCCACGATGGTCGACACCACCGCGAACATGAGGATGAACGTGCCGATGAACTCCGCTGCCACCTTCTTCGCCAGCGGCACCGGCACCTCCGGGGCACGCCGCCCTTGCTCGGCGTCGTGCACGTCAGCCTGCGGCGGCGACTTGAGCATCAGTTTCTGCAGGGACTCCAGCGTCACCAGCTTGCTGGATCTCGGAGTCGAGGCGCTGCCGGCGGCGCCGGCGAGGCTCCGCTCACTTGGCGTCGAGCACATGCTGATGGTCACCTGCCTCTGCTCTTCAACGCTCACTGTGGTTTGGTCAACCATTTCTCAGTTCACCTCAGCTCCAGATACATCTCTTAACATACTAGCTGATCTCCTTTAGTTAAGTAAAATTCCTATGATCTATGCATACAAGTTTGAGTGATCTTGCAAAGTTATCAGCTACTCCTGGTCCTCTATAAGTGTGCACACAGCATGTCAAGCCAAAAATTTGGAGAATATTTATTGATTGGAATGTTGTGTTGCATTGGAGTTATTGTGCCCTTAGGAGAATATGACGAGGAATATGTGATGAAACTTGAAAGCTAGAGTAAGGGGGTGTTTGGTTTCTCCTCCTAAACTTTAGTCGTTATTCCATCGGATGTTTGGACACATGCATAAAGTATTAAATATAAACAAATTACGAAACTAATTGCACAGCTTGCGACTAATTTGCAAGACGAATCTTTTAAGTCTAATTAATCTATGATTTGACAATGTAGTGTTACAGTAAACATATGCTAATGACGGGTTAATTAGACTTAATAAATTCGTCTCGTGAAGTGCTGACAGATTCTGTAATTTATTTTTTATTAGTATCCGAACACTTCATGCGATACTCTCACGTGACAACTCCTAAATTTTAATCACCGGATACAAACACCCCCTAAAACTGTATGTATCAGCTAATCAGCAAGAAGCCATAGGGACACAGCTCTCCGTCAGCTACGGTGTGACGATGCCAAGACATTGCCATGCATATTCCCAGGAATTTTCGACAAGACAAATGCTCACATACCAAGACGACAAGAACGTAGCCTATGCTCCGTGGGCACTTACGCTTCCAAAGATTCATAGATAAGATGATTGGCCTTGTTCTCAATTTAATACTCCCTCTGTTCCAAACTAAAGTCATTCTGACTTTTCTAGATACAAAGTATCACTGTATATGCGTAGCAAAAGTTATGTACCTTAAAAAACCATAATGACTTGCATTCTGAAATGGAGTACTAAACAAACGATATGTCAAGCAGTAAACGTATATGTATGAGTGATCAGAAGAGCATCAAGAAAAAAGTAGCATAAAGGCTGCATTCTATCATCCTCATCAACCCGTCAAAGGGCAATCAAGTTTATATCAAGCCAGAAATGGCCTGACGCAGGTGCACCGAAGAATGTGGAAACAAATGCTATGGAATTTTGCTTTATTGTTGATGTGGTCTTGACGCTCTGAAAAGTTTGAGCAGCGCACAGCCTCAGGTTCAAGAAGTACTAGATTTTGAGAACTAAACCGAAGCGCTGGATTGGAGTGAGCTTCTTGCAATCTCTAACGCATTTTCAACAGAAGTCACGGCCTCGAGCTTAGACTTGTCAACAACAGGCTGAGATTTAGCGAGTTGCGGAAGAAGTGAGAATTCCTGAAAGATTGCAGAAAGTTTGTCATGAACATGTCGAAAATTACATGCTCTCGTGCTTAATGTGGCTTATAACTTGGAAGTAAGTTCAACAGGAACACAATCTGTCCTAGATTAGCAAGATCTTGTTCAAGACAAAGGTGATGTCAAGTGCATTTACCTCTGAGGTTCCACTCTCAAGGAAAACACCCTTCAGTCGACTATCTACAGTTTTGTCAAGGCAGAAAGGTCATGCTATGTTTAAGTACAACTGAGAAGAATCAAAATGTATTCCAAACTACTGATTACCTGAGTCAATCCAGAAAGTTGCAATCTTTGGATCAAAGTTTCCTACTTCAACTGTTTCGCCAACTGCTCAGTGCACAAACTAATGGCATTAATATCACGAATATACATGCTCAAGACCAACTTGTAATGTAGAAAATGGCTATCATGGTACTCGTACCGTTATCGCCATAAAACTGCCACCAAACTTTCCTTGAACTTCCTTCATACTCAAAAACTCTCGAGTAGAAATATGGAAGGTAGTCATACCTGCATCCAACATGGTGAATCAAAAGCAGCACTGGGAGCTAAACTAACAGAGTACACTTGATTGCCAAAAACTTACGCTTTAGTCTGGGATGTTAGGAGTGCTTCTACACAGTGGTGTGCAGATTTCCGAGCATGATCCACATGTTCCACTCGAGCAGTTCTATTGTACATCTGCAATGAATTTGGGCAAAAAATCATATTCCGGGATACAACTTTGCCTCAGAAGATTAGAAAACATAATGATTACCAACCTTCAAGGGAAAAGCTGCTACATCTCCAATTGCAAAGATGCCAGGTACACTAGTTCTGAACAAGGAATCAACCTACAAAAATATACTCAATTAGCTTTCTTGACCAAGAATAAACCGCAATTGATTTAGAGAATGACAAACACTTAAGTAATTGTCGAAATTAAAATCTACCATACAATGAAGCAGCATATATCCAACAGGAAGGAACGCAATGACAATGAGACAGCTAAAAACCAAAAAACTGATAAGGGTAAGATGTAACTTAAAAAAGTGATCCAATTTGAGGGGCTTTATGTGTTGTATGCTGCTAATCCAAATTAATTCCATCAGTATCTCAGGTAAAAAAAAAAAAAAATGAAAAGGAAAGGAAACAGTTCCATAGAAACTTTAAGCAACTATCACGATGCAATGCAGTGAGATTTAATAAGCCTAACTAACTTTGGCATGGAAACAAACCTCTATTCCACCAACTTCAGGGTTGATTCCAACAGCTTCAAAGGGGCTGACAACTGGTTTTGCTCCTATACCAACAATTACCTGCACTTATAATATCTTATTAAAACCACAAGAACATCAAATGTTTGTTTGTCTTATTTTTGGCTTTATATGTTCAATGAAACATAGTCTATACTAAATATATGTCAAACCAAGTGAATGAGTAGATCTATCAACTACCGTTGTATTGAATATTGAGTGAACAAATCTATCAAATTGAGTCTATAACTACAAACTGTTGAAGATTTAGTGTCTACTAAGAACATTGGTTCACCTTATTTGATAGCAGATAGGTGGATCAGAAAGATGATTATGATGTGGAAATTTATCTGGTAGTAAAAGTAACAATTTCAATTGCATAGTACTGCTGCATGAACCATTAGAAGGAAATAAATAGCATAACTGTATCAGCTTCAACTACAGATCCATCCTTAAGTACTGCAGAAGACACCCTTCCATCAGAGTCAGCTTCAAGTTTGTCGATAAGAGCTCCCTGGTTACCAATAAAGATGCTCATACTCAAATCAGACTGAAACAAGACTAACAAATGGACTTAAATATTTGATGCACCAATTACCTTTATGAATTTGACACCATTTTGCTGATACAGTTCCTCATACTTCTTAGCAAGGGAGGGTGTAAATAATCTTGGCATAACGTGGTCCTCTGGGAATATAATCTATTCATGTAGCAGTCTTAATTAGAGAAGTGGCCTTTTTAGCATATAGGGAGATGTCCAAGCTTCAGCATATCAAACTGAACAAAAAAAAAGGTAGCTCCTTACAGTTGTTTCAAGATTCCAGCCACAAGCAGCTGCAGCTACCTCCATGCCAATATAGCCCCCACCAATAACCACCACCTTCTTTGCACTTCCCTACAAAAAATAAGCAAAGAAAAAAAGAATCACTTGTAAATACCAAAGAGGTGAGATTGTCAAATGAGATAACATTAACTCTTGTGGATGAGGAGTGATGATAATTACTACATTAAGCTACTGAACATACCAATGAGGATACTAGAGAATCAGCATCAGCAACATCCCGAATGTAGTGAACTCCAGGTAATTTCCCTCCAATTTTCTCAGGTAATCTGAAAATAAAAAGATTTTTGGTATTAGAAGAACATAATGTTGAGATTCATTGTAACCATTTGAGTGGACAAATTTTGTGCATCCAACTCTTAAATATCAGGAGTGAAAGTTTAATAAAAATGGATACCATGATAAGGACAGAAGAAATCTGGTTTTCCAGACATTTAAATACAGATCATTCACACAAGTGTTGTTGTATACCTTGAAGCTTCACAGCCAGTAGAAATAATAAGTGAGCCGTATTTCAGAATTTTCCCTGATGAAGTTTTTAAGGTTTGTGTTTTGCCATCAAATGCTACAACTGGATCCTCATACAGCACCTATCGCAAAAGGACGAATAGCTTCAGATAAAAGTGTAATAGTAAACACAGCACATAAACCACAAATGCTAACATCAGCACTACCTCTATACCATTCTCCTTGTACCATTCAGCAGTCTGTCGCTGTCCACCAGATCCAATGCATGTATGGAAACCCTACCACAAGAAAAAGATTAAGACTAAGAGCCTGTTTGTGCAGCTCTGAATTCCAATTGATGTAGTGAGAAACAGAGTATCAGGTAAAAGCTTCCTTAAAAGTTTTATGCAACATTCTGATTACTGATGCAGATCATAATAAAGGGCAAATAAACTAACATGGAGATGCTGATCTTTTGTACATTATGTGAAGAATGTAAGATACTACATTGACTTAAAACTGAGCAATTCAGCAGTCCCAATTCTGGCTATCATGATTCAGTTTTGCCTGTCATTGTAAATTCGTTGGTGTACTTACAGGTAGGCGAGCCGGTTTCTTGTCCAGAGGAAAAAGATAGCCTTTGGTCAAGGCTGGCCGCTCGTACGGTGGAACTGGCTGCATGAAAACAAGCACCATTGCTATCAAACATGACCAGAGAAAGTTCAAATCAAAATGTTAACAGAAGTTTGCAATAGAGTACATTGCAGCAACGAGAAACAAACAACGCCATGGCAAAATGAAGAAATCAACCCAAATCATTTCTACAAAGTAACACGCAAAGAGCATCTACTGAAATAGAGCAAGCAGCAATACCTCCTTGGAGACGATGCAGAGGCGGCCATCAGCCATGCCGTGCTCGACGAACGTCCTGGCGGCGTACCCCGCGGCGTTCCCTCCGCCGACGATCACATACCTGCAGTCCGGCGATCCGCCAACCAACCATCCATGAGCATTCCTTTTCACTTTTTGAACAGCACTCCTCTGTTTCAGAGTATCGAAAGAGAAACAGGGCACCCACTCGCGGTTCTGGTTGTCGAACACGGCCGCCGCGGAGACCGAGAAGGTCCGCCGGGACGAGAGCCGAAGCACGCCGGCACCGGCACCGCCGCCGCGCTGCCGCAGAGCCCACGTGGCCGGCGACGAGGCGTGGCTGAAGCACTGCGCCGCCGCCGCCGCCGCCGCCGCCGCCGCGGAAGCCATCTGCGCCGCCTTCCGCCGGAGAGCTGCGGCCACCTCCAAGAAACGGGGCCGAGGGGACGGCAGTGAGTTTCAGAGGGGCCTAAATGCAATTACACGAAGCTGCGCGGGGAAGAACCTGAAGTCATCGGCGGCACCCTTATAGAGGACGGAAGGAGGCGTCGTCAGTCAGGCGCGTTGGAGGAGATGGAGGGGTTGGATCGGGGAATTGTTTGAACGCGTGGGATTTCGGTGCGATTTGGAGGGGGCGGAGGGCCGCTGGCCGCTGCGGGAGGCCAAGGGACGGACGCGACAAGACGACCGACCACCCCGGCCCGGCGGCGGAGTGGAGGTGGGGAAGAACAGGGAGAGGAGAGGGGAGGAAGGAGGCCCGGCACTGCACTTGCAATTTCTTCCTCTTTTCGATTTGTGGCCTCCTAGAAAGTAGAAATTGCAAATTTGTACCTTAAACCCCTCTGCTCACAATATTGAGGACGTTTTTGTAACATAGAATTCCTCCTCAAACTAAATATGAATGAATTTTCATGTGTTCCAATCAGATCCTGAACACCAAATTACCAGAGCTTAGCACCTGGTTTAACCTAATGCATGTTTATATATAGACATCATGCAAGGTTCTGCTAGTCTTGACATGGTGCTAAAATGTATCAGTATCACCCTACCATCTGGAAGCACACTTTAGGACACCATTACAATCCGGAAGCAACGGCACTGCACACAATTTTGAGACTTTTCCCTGCGTGTCATTATAAAAGATCGTAATCTCCTGTGTGCCTCTTGAAAAATTTAGTGGTCTTCAACGCCACTGCTCCAATTTTTTCGTGTCCTCCATACCACTTCCGTCAGTTTAGACTCTAACGCCGTCAAATTACATGTGTGAAAAGACGAAAATACCCTTAAGTCTAAATATGTTATTAATTTTTTTTTGAGCATCTTAACGACTTCAAATGAAAAAACTCAAAACTAGAAAGTTGTAGATCTCGTCGAGATCTATAATTTTCATATAAAATTTATATTAATCATATTAAATCATATTTTTTGCAGAATTAAATGAAAATAAATTTTATATGAAAATTACAGATCTCGACGAGATCTACAACTTTCTAGTTGAGTTTTTTCATTTGAAGTCGTTAAGATGCTCAAAAATAATAATAACATATTTAGATTTAAGGATATTTTTATCTTTTCACACTTGCAGTTTGACAGTGTTAGAACCCAAACTGACGGAAGTGGCATAGAGGACACGAAAAAGTTAGAGTAGTGACGCTGAAGACCGCTGAATTTTTTCAAGGACACACAGAGTATTACGATCTTTTATAATGGTACAGAGAGAAAAGTCTCCACATTTTTTAAGAACCAGACTATAAAAATATGAGGGAAAAGTCTCCACATTTTTTAAGAACCAGACTATAAAAATATAAGCAAATGACAATACGTCTCACAGCCATCATGGGTTCAACATGGCTCAAAGAAAGTGCACCTATATTTGAGGAAAAAGACAGCAGCTGGTGCAGCTGTCCACTAAACATCCTTTTCAGGGACTCCAGAAGCTCAACACTTGTACTAGTTTCAGATACAAACAAACTAGAAGAGTCATACATGTCCGGTGTGGCGGTGTCCTATTGTTATTGGAGAATTAGATCCAAGATCCAACACAGCTGCTGTGTAGGTTCTCCAGAGATCCCAAGTCCACACCACCTTCCAGTACCTACCATCAAACTCTTCTAACCTTCATTCAGTGACCAACACTGGTTTTCCTCTTTTGCTGCATCCAGTTGCCATGTGATGAAACCAGGCAATCTTCAGGCTGAGCCAAAGGTGCTCTACGATTATTCACACATAGATCAGCTCAAGCATGACATACAGATACATGCTCAGTTGTTCAACAGCATGCATTACATACCAACACAGTGCGCATGGGAGCAAGATAGATTCAAGTTTCTGGCAAGGGAACATTTTGGGCAGGTTTTATGATCTCAGGCCTGGAGCTGTCAGCCTATACCGCTGCATGCAGGATTTAGGTTCAGCTAACCAGGTTCCATGCATCACGACAGATACTTTTCCACACCAGAGGCATGTATACTTCAGTAGTTGGATCATCTCTTGCCAAAAAAGTGGTGGATCTGAAACTGGCCACCTTTCCCTCCAACCTTCGGTGCCTTTGGCCACAACGCTTGAGACTTGCTATCCTGCAGAAAAATAGCATGCAGAGGGGTTAGTTGTTGGAGATCAAATTGCTTTTGTTATCTGGCAAGGAAAAACGTGAGAAGACCTTGCTCAACTGACCTGGGATTGGCCAAGGTCCCTCAGGATTTTGACCTTCCCTCCTCGACCATCCGGTCCCACAGCGATCAGGTTGCCTCTGTTTCCACTTGCAGAACCAGGAGCTATTGAGCCCTTGCACCATTTGCCAATGCTTTTTCTTGCTCCATCCATGCCAGGAATTCCTGGTGCATGGAAATCATCTGATCGTAGATGAAATACAGTTGCTTTGTAAGTATATAATTTCAGTGTGCAGGAGCAGGTAGAGATGGCATTTAGTAGATATCCATAATTTCTTAGTGATCCCTAAACCACATGGGCAATCAGGATCAAATTACAATGTCAGTTTTTAGTTAGATTTGGAGAAAGTTATGTCTATTATTTTTTGCAATTAGAATGGAGGGACAGTACGTAAAATCCTAGGTCCACTTCATGCAACTTGAATGCAAAGGCTGTTTGCCAGAACAGCAAAATAACTCACCAGAAAGAGAATTGATGTTGTGAATCTGCTGAGGTCCGGTGCCAGATGCCAACCTAGTTGCTTGTTTGGAGATGCCATCAATTGTCAATGTTTCACTCTCCCGTGTTGAACTTGTCACATTAGTTCTCACGGAAGGACTCTCCTGAGGAATATGCAGTTTGGTCCTAATGTTCGCCATAAAGGTTGATTTTACAGTTGCTTCTCTGTGTTTGAGGAAGGGTCCTCCTTTTGCTACATGTGTGGTTGTGCATTCAAATGCCATAGACTGTTGGTCATCATTTTGACAAAGACTAGACTTGTTTTCGGAATTCAATGTGCTATTATCAGTCCCAAATGGCTTGGCAGAAAATTGAGCCTTCTGTTCATCTCCAAAAACAGAATCATTGGCTTCTAGGTCTATCACATCTGCGTTCTTGTTGTCCAGGCTGTCTTTGGCATTCAGATCCCTCTTAGCTTCAGGTTTTAACCGGTCAAAGTGAGTCTTGTCGTTGCACGGATCCTGCATCACTTCATCAAGCTTGTTTGTTTGATTTTCATATCCAGGACTTGAACTAGTGAAAGCATTATTAGCTGTGACATTCCCAGATTTTATATGGTCTGCTTTAAATTTCTTTGAAGACCTCAAGTCCATTAACAAACTATTTTCTTTATCTTCTAATTCCTTCTCAAGTTCCAGTACCCTGGCCTGCATTTGTTCACACTGACAAAGGTCACTCACATGAATTTGAACATTGAACCATAAGTTTATATATGAGGCTGAGCTTACCCTTAACTTCTTTATAAGCTCTTTGGCCTTCTCAAGCTTCTGCTGCGAGCGAGACTCCGATCTTCCCAAAACATTACATTGGACCATCAATTCCTTGTAGCTCCTAAAGAAAGAATGCATCACTGAACCAATCCAAGGTTGGGCTACTACAATATGTTCAAGGGTATTTCTTTTTTTTTTCTTTATCTAGCATCATCTTGAGCAATATTTCAGTTGTACCAATGACCAATGAATCCACTTCATGTAGTAAACATAAACAATGTGGTTCATCTTCCAGCTGTTAAAAATGTGGTCTCAACAACCAACCATTGGCTATGAAATTTTATCCAGAACTGCACAACAATTCTTCTAAGTACCTTAGACATTTCAAATTATTTGGTGTTCAACTAAGGACAAATAATCCAAATTAACACAGCTCCAATTTGACAGTTGAAACTACTATAATCTAGTTTGAGAACCTCATGGCACCATAAAAGATAGAAACTATGCATCCAATTGGCTACACTTTGCAATTTACAAGTGAACATTTGCAGGTAAACCTATTTAAGGGTCCTAGATAAGTGTATGATTTCAGTTATAGCTGGGTCTACTGTAACAAGTGAGAAATTTTGATATTTAACTAGTATAATGCAGTTCACTAACGCTCACAGGTGACTAAACATGAGCAAATTGTTTCCAGATAAGGATATGAAGAAGATAAGCATACTTGTTCCGAATAGCAAGCGATCTCTTCAAAACATCAACAGCGTTCTGCAGGTTTCCATGGTTACCAAGTGAAACCAACTTCAGGATTTCTTCCTCCTGAAGGTTCATGTCTGCCGACCTAACGAACAAGATATGAAAACAAAATTCAATTCCCATAAACAAGAAACAACAGCAAAGTAATTTTTCACAAGTGATTGCGTCTTTCAGTTTCAGATAAAAAAAAACATACAGCTTCAGCGCCGCAAGCTCTTTGGCTAAAGCAAGACTCTTCTCCTGCAACCTGCCACACTCCGATGTCTTCCTCGACAACTCCTACAACGAAGAGACTACGTAATCCACTAATCCATGGCTGGATAAACAACCAGAGGCACCAAATCACCAACAGATGCACCAATTACCTCTGTTTTCGCATTGAGCAGCATCTGCAGAGACTCTTTTTCCTTCTTCGAGGCTTGCAGCAAAAAGCTTCCCGCCTCCATCTGCTCCCTAAACACGGCAACCTGGCCCGAAACCACCACCATCAAACCATCAGCAAACGAAATCCGCGCGCCACTGGACGCAGTTCACAGATCGGGAAAGGAGATCAGCATGCACTAGCCTGGGACTTGAGATCGTCGATGCTCTCGCGCTGCTCCTCGACCACCTTGCCGAGGGACGCCGCCTTCTGCACCAGGCGGGTGACCTCGGCGGCAAGCGCCTCCGGGTCGGCGCCCCCGGAGGCGTTTCCCGGGGAGGGGCAGGCCTGGGTCGGGCACGTGCCGGTGGAGCTGAAGTAGAGGCGGGTCGGCGGGTGCGCGGCGCCGCAGCACTGCTTGCAGACGGGGCACGTGCGCTTCTTCTTGCCGCCGGGGCAGTACTCCAGCCATTGCTCCAGGCTGCGGACATCAAGGACCCACCGGCCAGGAAGGGGCCTCAGTTAGCCGGCCATTGCTGGATCTAGGCGAGATTGAAGAGAAATGGAACGGAGAGGGAGAGGGAGAGGGGGAGGAGACGGACCAGAGGGCGTGGAAGACGTGGCCGCAGGCGGGGAGGCAGTGGAGATGCTGATCGGAGAGCAGGCGGAGGTCCTCGTAGCAGATGGTGCAGACCGGCCATGCGGCGGCGGCGACGGTCATGGCGGCGGCGGCGGCATCCGACGGGGAGCGGCTGGCCCCTCCTCAAATGTGGTTGGATTTGGGGGGAAAGATAAGACAAGAGCTAATCCCGCTTTCGTTTCGCGCGATTTCGCGAATTTCAAAATACAGTGGAGATTTCGTGGCGGGCAGGGGGGAATTTCATGCCCTTTTCGCGCAGGTGGAAGATTTTTGTATTCAAATATATAAAACTACAATACTACACTGCAATGCTACTTGGTCCGTTCCAAATGCTATTTGGTCCGTGCCACGCTATAAATTGCTTTGATTTTTTAGTTACATAATTTATCGTTTTGACTTTTTTAATACATAATTTTTGTTATACATTTAGATTTACATTGTATCTAAACACAGTAAAAACATGCATTGAAATTTATGTTATGTCTAGACAGTAAAAACTAAAAAAACTATAATGACTTATACTTTGAAATGGAAAATACATAGTAAAAAATATGCACTTAAATTTATATTGTGTCTCATAATAAAAACTAAAAAAACAAGATAACTTATAATTTACAGTAGAGACAATAGATTCCAATGAAAAACCACTTCAAATGTTTGATTTTGGTTGAAAGTTTCTGCCAATGTCCTTGGTGAGCCCTCTAAAGGGGCCGTTTGGAAGGTCAAAACGTTTCGGATTCTACATAGAAACGCTAGAAATCACTTCCAAGCAGCAAAAAGGCGAAACGGTTGAAATATTTCTCTCTTTTCTGCCTACACACGGGAAACAGCCAAGGAGTGGTTTCGCCTCTGTTTCTTACTTTTCCTGTACACTAGCAATAGTAACTTTTTAGTTAATTCATTTTAAGTGCAAGAAGTTAAAATGGATTGTATTTAAGATGTTCTTTGCCCATAAAAAGTTCTGAATTTTTTTAACATATTTCCATTTTTTTAATCAAATTCTAGCCTACTAGCCAAACGATTCTATGAAGTGATCACCGATAACCGTTAGAAACATTTCCTATGAAAATCTAGATCCGAAACGTTTCTATGAGAATCTGAATCATCCCCTAAGTTTTAACCAAAGGAAAAAGGGCAATTGTCTCATGTCAATATTGGAACTTCAGCAATTAAATGGAAGTTTCACGCAAGAACGAGATACAAATATTTTAAAAGACACATTACAAAGAATATTTACTTTGCAGTTCATAATCCATACATATATCTCCAAAAGGTCCTTAACGTAAAGCAAAATAACTGTAGCTTTGACAACATTTGCTCGAAGTTAGCATTAGTTGTAAGTACACTACGGAATTAACAAATTCTCAACAGCACAGAATAGCAAATTGAAACCCATGCAGCTGCTCTGTTCTTAAAAGTAGAAACCATTTTCTTCACATGTCCGAGGATCAACTTCACAGTTTACACGGCATACAAGAAACGGCGAAAGCCATGTACACAACCACATTCACACATCTACACTTTCCCCTAAAAAGGAAAACAAAAATCTCCTCCTGCACAGGAAACACATGAACTATACAAGTATGTGGGCAGAACTCTGCTGGTCATCATAGGTTGCTACATCAGCTGCAACATTGTCAGAAGAACCGCCTCTTCAAGCTTCTGGTTGTTGCTTGGTAGGAGCGCATGAGGAGCCCAACGCCTATACCAACACCGACACAGACTCCCAGGCCGATGCCTACGCCAACTCTGACGCCAGCGTTGAACCATGAGAGTTGCCCATCATCATAGTCAGAGTACCAACCTTCAGGGTATTGCATGCTACCAGTGTTCATATCATTGTCGCCTTCATTGCTAGCAGCCTGCCAAAGAAATTTATATTGATCAACAGAAACTTGAGGTTCAGATGGTCACAAACTGTTGATTGGTGCAAAAGAACTTAGTTTGCGAAGCATGCAATTTCAGTTGAAAGCATAGGCACGTGGACTGATGAACCAAACATAGTATAGCCACTTTAAATGCAAAATTATATTGTGTACCAAGATAGAATAGACCCAAACCCCCAAGATACCTATTGCCTATGATTAAAAAAAACTTGACGACAGGAGCGAGACACCCCCTGGGCTTTGCCTTAAGAAGCTATACCAGAATTCGAATGCAGCCAGCAAGGGGAGACCCCTCGGAGCACAATGCTTAACCAGTATGACTGATAAGAAGCTGGTACATAATGCCTATAATTAATATCTATTTCTCTGCATTTGTCCATTCCCTGATACAAATCATCAATTCAAATCCTAGAAAGGATTCATGAAGTGGCAAGAGGAACTAGACCAAAACTAACGTGTATTCTCTAGGCACTAACATCAGAGCAGATACGTTGGACCATACACAGCTCTATTGACACATTACAAACACTTGTACATTTGTTCAACTATAGTGAAGGGGTGACATTGCGAAATGATAATTGCTAAAAAAATAGACTTATACTGCAAAATGGAGGCAGTACTTCCTGATGCTTTCAAGCCAATGGTAACCTCACTTGGATTATTAGTTAATCTCATCATATCAGAACAAACCTACTTAATATAATTTGGACTGAGCAAAGCATTTACAAGGGCACAAAAGATTTTATACCACAACTGTATGAGCCTCATACCATCAGGTTATAACTGATAGTCTCATGCCAATGCCATACATATGCCAATCGAAATAGTTATCTCAAGGTTGTGAAGATAAAGCATGACTTTGAATACCACATGATGAATAGTAAATTTCCCTTACAAGTTCACTATACCTAGGCGAAACAAAGCCAATGTGGGAATCAGTGAGAGGCTATATGTGGTAGAATGAATGCAAACTGTTTTGCATGATCTAGTCCAATTAAATAGATATGGCCCTTCAGTACAGACATTACTTTTGGCAACACTTACAAGCATATCAATCCGAAACTGGGGACAAAGACAATATTACCAGCAAATCCATCACTATCACAGGAAAAAAAATGAAACGTGGCATCTGAGTAACTCTGTTCCATTTACAGGATTACAACTGCACAAAAATGTTTCTACCTCAGTGACAGTGCAATTGACAACAACATGCCCTGCCAATTGAACTTGAACCACAAACAAACAAAGCAATCGCAATCAGAAGACGCTACTACATGAGTTGTACCTTGTAACACGGCATGAACAAAAGGTTTATCCATTTCTGTGACATCAATATATCCACTTGCCACCTTACAGGCTTACACTAACCTAAGGAAAGGTTTTATTAAATGGCAACGGTAGCCAGCCATTTTGTTGCTAGTATTTGTTTCTATATCAAAGCTACTCAATTTCCATTTAACATCAGACAACTCATTAAGAAGAAGCGACTAATGATGTTGAGGAAAAAGAGATAATTAACACTCACCGCCAATGCCCCCGATCGGCGGCGAACCAACGCACCGGCAGCTTCCTCAGGGGTGGCTAGCCGCAGGGCGTGCGTGAGCACCGCGGGCTCGCCGGCGCAGCACCCGGCGACATACACCTCGAAGGCCGAGGCCGAGGCGGCCGCCCCAGCGGCGGGGACGCAATCGATTTCCCAGGCGGGAGAACCGCCCTTGGCGCCGGGGCACCGCCGAAGCCAGCCCCGGAGCAGCGCGGCGCCGCGGTGGTCGGCGACATCGAAGGCCGCGGCGGGTGGGGCCAGCCGCGCGGCCGCGGTGGAGACGTAGGTGGCCTCGCCCGAGGCGGCGTCGTGGCGGTCGAGCCGCAGCGGGAGCGGGATGGCGGGGGCCTGCGCCTCGCCGTCGCCGCCCGCGGGGCGGAGCTCGAGCGCGAGTCGCGGGGGTGGGGCCGCGCCGCCGTGCGGGGAGACGCGCACGTAGAAGAGCCGCACCTCGAGGCAGCCCCCGGGGTCCGCCATGCGCGCGGCGCGAGGTGGCCTTGTTTTAGGGTTGCGCGGCCATGGAAGGAAGGCTATTGAGAAGGTGGAGTCGGGTGGTTAACCAAAGTGGAAGCGATTAGTGATAAATGTTGATTAATGTTAATGAACAAATGAAAAATAATGGACTTAGTCGTGGGCTGGGCTTTAATGGGCCGTAAGTGGGCCCTTCTAAGCGGGAACGATAAGCGCAGGAAATGGCCCGAGTTGAAGGGAGGAGAGAGCAAAGCGAGCAGCACGGAATCCAAATCCACCACGATGAGCGGCGGCGGCGGGCGGAAGGCGGCGGGCCCCGGCGGCGAGGAGGCGGAGGTGGAGGCGCTCATCCGGGCGGCGCAGGACGCGGTGCTCCTGAAGCTCCAGGCGAACTCCCACCTGGTCTCCTCGACGCCCGCCTCGGCCTCCAGCCCTCCTCCTTCGCTCGACGCGGCGTCGCTCGATCCCCTGGACAGCGACCTCGCCCGGCGCTTCGACGCGCTCAAGTCCCGCGCGGCGGCGCCGAAGCTGAAGCCGGCCGGTGTCGGGATGGATGAGCTGGAGGCGCGGTTCGCTGCGCTGAAAGGGGCGGCGGGGCCAGAGAAGGATACGAGGGTGAGGCTGGAGGATCTGGGAGGGGAGTCGTCGGAGGATGAGGCGGACGAGGTCGACAAGGTGATGCGCTGGGCGATGGACGCCGCGCGGCTCGACGTCGCTGCGGCGGGCACCGGCGGCAAGGCGAAGAAGCGCGCTGACGACGACGAGGAGGAGGTAGAGAAGGATGAGAAGAGCAGCGTGAGTAGCGAGGACGACGACGATGAGGAGGATGAGAGATTGCGGTTGGAGGTGGCGAGGAAGAAGGAGATGGCCAAAACCAAATCCAAGAACAAGTGGTTCTTCTTGTGATTTCCTACTACTCATCATCACATGTAAATTTCATATCTATTTCAATCCAAAGATTTATCATATGCTCTTCCCCCCAGCAGACAACCACCTATCTGATATTCGTCTTAACTGTTTGAGACTTTACAAACTTGCATCTTGTTGTTTGTTGAATCCACGACACAATGTGTACATGACACTTCAAGAACGCAATATGCAAATGAAGGATCGAGAAAGCAATATGCAAATAAAGAATCGAATGCAGTATGTACAAATGAAGAATCGATGCAAGCCATGTTTATTTTCTCTTTCTATTGATGAAAATGCATACCAATTCCTATGCCTACCTTGGATCGTTGGGGAAAAGTACATAGGATTCCCAAACTTTGGATAGTGGGGGAAAACATAGGATCCCCAAAATTTAAGGATCCATAAGATCCCAGAATTTAAGGATCAGATAAACATAGCATTCCCATTCTTAAGAATTGGGTAAACATAGGATTTCCATTGTTATGGTTTTAAGGATCGAGTAAACATAGGATTCCCATTGTTATGGTTTTAAGGATCGAGTAAACATAGGATTCCCATTCATAAGGATTGGGTAAACATAGGATTTAGGATTTCCATTCTTAAGGATTTGGGTAAACATAAGATTTAGGATTTCCATTCTTAAGGATTTGGGTAAACATAAGATTTAGGATTTCCATTCTAAAAGATTGGGAAAACATAGTATTCCCATTCTTATGGATTGGGTTACTCCTAGTGTTCGGATGAATCACTTATATACAAGAAAAACATAGAAAATTTCATTCTATTCCACAAGAAAATCACAAGAAAAAAAATCCACTCAAACCTCAATAGTGTCTTTTATTTTTCAGTCTTGCATATGCATTCATATCCTATTCGGTTATTCTTGTGTTTTTCCTACTACTGCATTTTTTCAATCCCGTGTTCCAAGAGGGTAAGTAGAGCAAAACTTTAGGTAAACCTGAGTATGAAAACCAGAAAAGATGTCAACATACAAGTCAGGCTAATATTTGGAGCACAAGTGAGCAGCTCATTATCACAGTATCTGGGATCTGGCATATTGCCAACACATGAATTCACCCAGGTAGTTGACGACAATACAACTCTCACTAAACCACAATGACATGCTACATTTCAGTCTGGATGGATGGAGTACAATGTGTCACAGATACTCAAGGCAAGCGCCAACCATCATTCCTGCCATAACTATATTCCCTTGCCACTGCAAAAGTTGAAAACGACAGATTTAGAAGTCCACTCACTTGAAATTACAAGGTTCAGATTTCTTAGCCAGAATAAGAAGGTAGGATTTGTTCACTCACGTGTTCATCGATTCATGTGATGGGGGAAACAATTTTCCAGGGATGCATGTTTTACTAACCCAGTGATTTCCTACTGTTCTTCTTGACGTTGATTTCCTCAGCATCATCGAGGACCAAGGTCATGTACTCATCGAATCCCTGCAAGTGTAAGTGTGTAACAAACTATGAGCTAAGTTTCACTCAACGTAGTACAATCTGCAGGGTTTAATGAGAACAAAATCATATCGAGGTATGAGTTGTCCTACCGAACAGTATGTGATTAAAATGGCCCTTTTCCTAACTGACAATATAACTACAAAGATATAGCCTATATGGTATCTTTGGGACGGTTCCAAGAATGTGGAGCTTAGATTAGGGACTTAAGGGTGAGCTTCTTGTTCCCATTTTTAGACTAAAAAACATGCCTTGATCACTTCATTTTACCCTATATAAATTCCAAACTTTGTATGAATCCTAGAGTAGCATTATACTCCAAAAGAAAATATATGAACAAGAGGCTAAGACTAAGCAATATGCAGAAACCTAGAATTTCAGGCCACAGTTGAAAATGAATTAAATTTGTGGTACTATAACTCTATTTAGTTTTCAAGACCCCACTGATGGCATCACACAACCTAGTTAGCAATAGCAAATGGAAAAAGGAAATCTGCGCAACCCCGCAAAAAAGACATCTATATGCATGCCAAGCAGTACGGGGCCACCCATACATTAATCAGACCAGACAGTAACATAGAAGATCAAATAAGGGGAAAATGGGCAAGTAAAAAACGAAAGGTCCTGCACTTATATCGCACAACGCACACATATAGACAACACAAATGACTATTGAAACAGAGAGAAACAAAAAAACACATGCTACCATACATACTCCATACACTTATCACCCAGGACAATACAAATATTCCTAAGGAACCCCAGGAGCACTAAACATTTCTATAAGTGATTCCTGATTGTCACTTATCACCAATCATTTGTTTCCTAGTGTTCATGAAGCAAAACAAGAAATTCACAACACATACAGTGTGACGCCCTGTATAGCCAGAAAGTGAAGCCAAGGATCCCTAAGCGAAATCATTCTAAATACCATCTTCCAGAAATCCTCTCACTACTTGCTTATAAGCATTGATAATATTCTGATTGGGCAAAAAGGTAACATCTTCATAAGAAAGCAACACACCTCGACGCTATTTCATAATTCATATAGACTAGTTCTTCAGTTCCCACAACAAGGCTTAGGATTGATTCCAAATTTACAGGATTGCAACTTGATGAAAAGGAATACTCAATATTGGAACACCGTTCCAATCACCTATAGAAGTCAATAAGCACTTGATTATCGGCAAAATATTGCATCTAAGCATTCACATGGCACCAACTAATGCTGCCTACCCATGCTTTTGTTGGAACAAAATCACTCTCTACCATTGTGTTCTAAATAGGTAGTAATCCTTTGAAGACACTTGAAACCAACAGTTGCAAGTGTCTTAGCTTAAGGATTGCGATCTTACAAAGAGTGTGCATCACACTCAGACCATATATTAGTAGATGCTTGTGGCAAAGTATTTGGTTAAGATCACATGTCATGTGATTTTAAGCTACCAATTGTAAAGCGTTTTTCCAGCTGGCCTTTAGCCCATAACAAAGCAAAGGCAACACATGGCTCATGATCCCTCCCTTTTGCATTCTTTTGGGATATAGTTAGGATGATTTGTCCCACATGAATAAAACTACACTTATGCTCAAAAAAATAAAACTACACTACTATGTGGTACTAAATTTTGCCATTTGAACAAGAAACAGGCCAAGAAAACACTAACAATGATGCGGCCCTCAATCCGGAGATTCTTCTGCTCGAAGAGCCAAATCTAGACGCACGCTTTCTGCCAGAAATCAATTTTCAAGAACCAAATCAATCAATTTACAAACCCTGACCGAAGCACCGCAAAATACGCAGATATGAGCATATATCCCAGAAACAGAACGGCGTTTTGCAATCCACTTACGCTCTGGAGGAACCGAAAGATGAGGCTCTGCCGCCGCGCACGCCCACTAAGGATTCGCCAGCCAACCACCACATCAAAGAGAGGGCGAGACGATTAGGAACAGCACGACGATACGAAAATCAGAAGAGCAAACAAGCGCGGAGGGGAAGGCGGCGGAGAGGTAGCTTACGATGGGCTGGGTGACCTGGGTCATGATACGCTGGACCTTGGTGGTGGTGGACGCCATGGCTGGCTGGCTGCGGCGGCAGCGGCGGGAGCCTCCCCTCCTCCTCCTCCTGCTCGGACGGATGCTTGCCATTACCGCCGTCGGATTCAACCAACGGCTGAGATTGAAGGGCCCGAATAGGCTGGAAGCCGGGAAGGGCCTTAAGAATTCAGATGGGCCCCGGACGAGGAAGAAAATGGGCCGGAATCGTAGGGGAGTTCCCAACTGCGAGATCATTTTACAACTTTCTAATTTGTACGTACAAGGGAGTACAATCTGTTTTGCTATTGTTTTGCATGAAGGGACCGAAACATTGACATTCAAATTTAGCTTTGAGTCAAATTTAAAGTGAATATACTATATAGGATTTATTAGTGTTCTTTTTGACCACGACATGGATCGTTCGGTGAAGACAAAGCGGAAGATGAGGCAGTGTGAAGCTGCAGCTTGCTCGCTGCAGCTTATTTTCTAGTTTTTTTTTCGGTGAAAGGCTCTGGACGTGGCGGATCTAGGATTTTTTCACGGGGTATGCCCGACCAAAAAAATTTCATATCTGAACCGGTAAAAACCGTTTACGATTCGGCAAAGTACCAAAGAATTGCTCCATAATCTAGTATATAATTACGATATAGTATATATAATAAGTCTTAAATTACAATACAGATAGTTCACATGCATTTTGATGAAGTCCATTGACCAACTCGCTAAATAATTGCAAAATTTGTAATTTAATTTGGTACATAAGCAATAAATAATATGACAAGTATTTAAGAGATAAGAGATAAGAAGTACGGATATATTGGGGAAAAACAATTGATAACTTGATAAGTATGCAAGGCTTTTTCTTAGGAAAAAAAGATATTATTCCTGCAAGTGCAATACTATACTATTTTGCAAACATTACGTGTATGGCTCGATCGCAGGGTGCCGTGGCATATCCGGCCATGGCTCTGGTCAGCCTATCGGAACATTACATGTATGCATTCAAGTTCTTAAAGGAGGTAGAAACTACCGTGGGTACCTCAGGTGTGTATAATTTGGTGACGGTGGATCATCCTGTGCATTGAAGTAGAGGAATGAAGCTAAACACCGCACAAGTTAAAAATTCCGGCGTTTATCCACCGGATCATCTGGACAGACTAGCGTTGGGACGTACTATGCTCCCAAGCGTACAAAGGAGTTTTGTTTCGCGTGGGGACCTCTGTGCAGCTCTGTTTCCACGCGTATGCACGTGGGGACTACCCGTGCACGCTCCGCTTCCCGCACCATCTATGCCCACTTGGGTCCCAGTCGTCTGCACCGCTAGTGGATGCGGGCCACCACGGATGCGTCTGCCGGCCTCAGGGGCCCGCACGGTGACCTAGGCGCTCCAGCAGCTACCGTAGGTGCGTCAGATCGCACACATGTGCAAACATCAGATCTATTTTTGCAACATCCAGACGAAACACATGCAACATACGTCCGAAACAACTGAAACACTTGCAAACATACGTATAAAACACTTACAAAACACCTGAAAACACTTGAAACGCGCGTGTAGCCATTGCAAAACATATGCAACATCTACATTTACTTTTGCAACATCCAGATGAAACACTTGCAACATGCGTATGAAAACGCTTTAAACATAAACTTGCAACAGGCATGTTATGCAACATCCACATCTACTTCTGCAACATCCAAATGAAACACTTGAAACATACATCTGAAAACACCTGTAACACTTGAAGCATACGCTCGCAATATTAAACATACACTTGCAATATGCATATATAGCCATTGCAACATATGCAACATCCAGATGAAACACTTGAAAATATACGTCTGAAATATGGCATCACCTGCGGCCATGACCTACCTATTGGGGATCTGTGGAGCGAGCAAGAGGCGCTCGGGTGCAATGGAGATGGAGGATGGCAGCAACCACCATGGAGGAGCCAGTTGTTCGCCTATGAAGGAGCCCTCAACCATGGAGGAATCGCCAGCAGTGAGCCCCCCTCCCCCCCCCCTCTGTGGAGGCACCCCATCATGGAGGAACCCCCATGCTGAGGAGTCATCGTCTGCTTAGATCTGGGCGTGCTCTAGCACCTCCTTGTGTTGCCGCCGCGCGATGACATTGCTTGGAGGAGAGATCCAGGTGAAAGGGAAACGCCCTGCGGCCCGGCCCGCTCAATCGCAGCATGAGAGGCGATGCGAGATGGATGAGTGCTGCGAAGAGAGACAAGGATGGAGTCACCAAGATGGATGAGGAGTGCTAGCTGATTTTTTAAAAGACCATCATCATCAGAGAGTGCGGAAGAGAGAGATACGTATAGGATGAGTGGTGTGGAGGCAGAGAGAGAGAGGATAAGGTGTGTTGGTGGGTGTGTATTATATGATGAGTGGTGTGGAGCCGGAGAGGATAAGAACATGTGTTAGTGGGTGTGTATTAAATGGATGAGTGGACCTCGGGTGAACCATCCGACGGAATCGTTGCCTCTGGACGTCCAACTACAAGCATTACCGTTTGATTATTTCAGCAAAATATGACTTTTGCTAAGGCTTGCTATGCATATTTACATAGGAGATTCTCCTAATTAGATTACCTGGTATGTTTGAATTTTTTTTACCAAACTATATTATGAAATAATTGTAGGTCTTAATATTGACGAGATAAAGTCCTAATATTACCGGCGAAGTCCATCACGCGACCCCGGCCCTAAATACTTGTACACTTTTATTTATTTATCTCATGCATGCTCTAACTTTTGCAACCTCCATTGTTGTTCATCTCTAGTGTCTTTACTACAAGACTACAACGATAGTTGACGCCCTAGGGCACTCCACATTGGGTGGCAGAACGTGATAGGTCACCTCTTGGTGAGTTGGTGTGACATTCTTCGCTGTTTCTAGTCCTTTGGCCGGCCGGATTGGAAGCCTACCAACCTTCATGTCAACAGAAGAATATGTCCTGCGAGATTGTGATAACAATACTAGGCGATGCTTCCATAACCACTATGCAACCAATGCAACGAACAAATGAAGAATTAATTAAAAACCTTTGCAATGCTGCCTATAGGAGGACACAGTGCATGCACCTGCAGCGCATGATGCTACCATGCCCATAGGCAACAAATGATCTTCTGGCCCTAGCACTAGCACTAGTTGTTGCTGCACAATTAAACTGACCTTGATAAAATGGAGAATCAAACAAGAAACATCCCTTCAGAACGCACACATGATGGCGTTGGGTGCATCATAGAAGTTTTTCGCCCAGGTAACTTGTTCACAATCTTAATTACCAATTACCACATGGAAATCTCAGCTTCGAGAGTATCTTTAATTTTTATATAGCGGTATCATGCGATATTTGCATGGTAATTATTCTTGAACTTTGTGAGCTCTTGCAAGGAATGTTACTCTCCCTCAATTTTTTTAGAAAAAAAAAGAATTTTTGTTTCGACCTATGCAATAGTTTTGCACCCAACCATTCATTATCACAAAGTTCTAGCCTCTGACAGAAAAAGAAACTCTCAAAAAGCAACAAAATGCAAGGATCTAAAAGAGCCTAACGGCAAAGTAAACGCTAAGCTATGAAAAGGCATCCATTCACTAGTACAGAAATGGTTTTTGCTGATGGTACCTATATTTTTAAGTGACAGTACACAAAAATAGACACCAATATAGTGCGTACAACCAAAACCACAAGTAGACATTTATTTCTAAGTGATGGTCTATATAAAATTCTTAACTTTGTTATATTAAATCGGATGAAGAAAAATGCTATTTTAGAGCCAGACGAGATCTACCACTTTACAGTTAAAAATATTTTACATCTTAAATCATTTAGGTTCCTAAATATTTGTTAAAATGATCTTAGATCTATTTTTTTGTAAATGATTTTAGAAGCAATTGCTTAAGTTAATCGTCTCTGAAAATGGTTTCTACCCTACGTGCAGTAGCCTTAAGAGAACCGCCAAAAAAAGCCTCCATCCATCATGGATGGGTCAAAAGATATGGTTATTATTGGCGCCTATATGTAATGTGATGGTAAGGAATGATGGCGTGAGGGCTCAGGTCACAAATTCGGATCTATGATAAAAAAAAATCGTGTGGCATGATAGGCTCAAGGCGTGGCCGAGGCATTCGGCCCTGGTGGAAAAAAAAATCATATGCTAGCATCCAGACATCGGATGGACTGGGCGTCCGGACACCCACACATGCAGACTGTTTTTTGCACCGTTTTGTGTGCCCACGCGGGGCCGTGCTGCCTTGAAGGGTACCAGCATCGAGAAGATAGGGAGGGAGTGGTGGATGCCTAGCCCGGCGCCGATAGGAGGAGACATTGAGGCGAGGCAACAGAAAGCGAGAAGGGAGATGCAACATCCAATCTACTTTTGAAATATTCAGATGCAATACTTGCATTATATATCTGAAGGCAGATGAAACACTTGAAACATGCATCTGAAACACTTGCAAAAAAATTTAAAACCATTGTAAAACAAACACATCATCCAGATAAAACGCTTACAACATACGTGCGAAACATATATAGCATCTAAATAAACACACTTGTAATATATGTATGGAAAAACAGATGAAACATTGGGGACAGAAACTCGCAACATACGTGTACAACCATTGCAACATATACAACATCCCGATCTACTTATGAAACATCCGCATGAAACACTTGCAACATACCTCTGAAATATCTGAAACACTTGAAACATACGCTTGCAATATGTGCTTCTTCCAGTCGTGGTGTCTTCGACTGATCGCGAGAGACATTGTCCCAGCCGGCGACGACCTTCTCCTGGTGGCGCGAAGTGGGGCGCAGCGAGGGATGCCCACAGCAGTGAGCCGGAGTGGGGCGGCGCGGCAAGGGATGGCCGCGGCGGCGATGCAGAGTGGGGCAGCACGACGCGGGATATATGGGGGCACGCGGGGAGATGGTCGTGGCGGCTATGTAGAGTGGGGCGGGCGAACGGCTGTCTGGCACTGAAAAGCACGCAATGGGCGAGAAAGTCGGGAGATATTTT